CTTAATAACATAACATATATGCNACATATATAGAATTGGAAAAATCTAAAAAGAGGGCCTCGATTGACAGCTCTGCCAGTGAAAGAACAAACAAGATTAGTACTTTGAGCTCTTGGCCTTCTTAACAGTAGCAGCTTTAGCACTAGACTTAAGTTGGGTGGCGCGATTAAAGGAACTTTTGGGGTTAAGAGCCTTTCTGATCTTAAACACAGTCCAGGCAGTCCCAACAACATGCCCTGCCGCATCAAGCCCTTCGGTTGCTACTTTTGCTGCCTCTTCTCCATACCTACAAAACCCATTCACTTATGACATAGTGTGATTTCAGTAACCCAAAAGTTCTAAGCAGATATATTTATCTTATAGTTACATAGTGTGATTTCAATTAGTTGAGTCTGTTGATAACTCATGACAAAACAAGTTGCAATGTATTCAAATGGTAAGACTAGACTTAGAAAAAAAGGCATATAGCCAGGAGAAGTCATCGCATACTGAAACATAAGTGTCACCAAAGTTAAGGAGAGGAAACATTTTGCTTTTCCTTAAAGTCTCCTATGTTGTACATTTTTTTCCAGTTTTCTTCAGTACATCTAGAATAGTTGAGCTTTACCTGTGCGAAACAAGCTCAGTCGTCACAGTGGACGATGTTGACATCACATTCTTTCCAGCTACTTCAACAGCGTCGCATATTCTGCCTATAACAAAGGCAAGTTAGGCTCCTCTCAAAAAAAAAATATTATACATATGTAGACAACAAACTGACTGCAATTTGCTATAGTTAAACTCAAAATATGTAAACAAATTCTCAAAGTTAAAGTTGTTATTTGACAGTTATGTGCATGAGAATTTGAGAAATCAACTTTTAATGCAGAAGTATTTCAACAAGATGAGTTCATCAATACAGTAAAAGAACTTAAATGTTAACTTATAGTAATAATTTAAACAGCATAGTCTCCTCCTTTTAACATTGGATACAACCTCATCATGGATGGTCCTAGCAACTAAAATCTAGAAGCATACAGAGCTAACATTGGCAGTGTGAATAAAATGATTACTTGTAGTGATGTCAAGAGATGCAAAAAATTTCCTATTCTTTACTTAAGAAATCAAAAATAAAAATTAGGTTCTTTGCTTTTCCTTCAAGCTCCTGTTTGTTTCTTTTGGTAGATTCTCTTCTCTTAATTGAAACATCATTATCGACCAGAAAATCTGCATACAGAATCAGGCACACAACCTGGGATTTCTTCTCTACCTTCTCTCTTAGACTCCAGAAATTTAGCCACATATAATATTATCTGTAATAACCAAACTATCAAACTCTAAGTGAGAGACAAAATGGTCAGATATCCAATGTACAACGCAGGACTAACCACACAACTAGAAGAAGCAAATAGCCAACTAGTAATGGTTTGTGATTTAGGAGGTCTTGTTGTTGTGGAAGTAAAACGTGTTTGTCCTAGCTGATATTGCATGTCACTTGTGATAATCTGAAGCTAATCACTATTTGACACTTCAATTGTGATAATTTGATGTTCTTATTCAATAGTGACAAAGTGCTTTTTGTTTGAAGGATGTCCAAGCAAAGAGGGAGTCACAAATGAAGCAAAACTAGAGGATAACAGAGGGATTGGCGCCATAGAGCAAGCCGTAAATATGGAAAAGGATGTAACCATTTATATCTTTCTTGGCAGACATGTCTTCAATTTTTACATTCTCTAAAAATGTCTTATCTGATACATATAAGTGCCTGTGAATGTGATAGTACAGGGACTATGCGACACAGTTAATCTACAAATTTAATTCCTTTTGTCCTGAAGCTATATTAAAAATAAAATAAGTAAAAATCGCTGAAAAGCAAATGGTATATGGATATACAATCAAACTCGGTCATGAAAAATGGAAGACTTTTGACTTACAAAATCCATCCAGAGTAGCAAGGACCATCTCCCCTGGCATCATGCGGAAGAACTTTTTTCCAACTATGGAATTTGCAACTGAACTAGTGAAGAATCCTGAAACCTGGAGAACTCCAGAAAGGACTCCAATTGCCACTTTCTCAGTCATCTTAGTTACTCTCTTAACCCTGAAAAACACACCCCAACGTGAGTAAAACGTTTTTTTCTTCACCTAAATAATTTACAGCTAGGCATATGAGTATCCCTGATAATCTTATTGAATGTACATGTACATCAGCAACAGCTAGCTCAAACATAGAAGCCTTGTTTGACATACTTCCTATTTTCCATGTGGGGAAACAATATAGAAGTCTAGGTATTGAGGAATTTAATTTATCTTGTACCATAAATTCTAACTAGCATCTGAAAGTGGCAGCTCCTCATAAAACAGTGCCAATTTACTGGCTTACTGAATTATAAGCTTTATGTACCGAAATAGAAAGATTATCTCAATTGTTGAAGCTATTCAATGAAACCACAAAGAAAGATCCATTAACATTTCAAACTGAAAAAATAGTATCAATACATTTTTTAGCCAAATCTGTCAAAGAGACTTTTTTTTTGGTCAGACAGTTCAGTAAAGATAATCTGCAATCTCTCTAAAAATGAGACACTGCAAGCATTTGTCATAGTAGTATTCTTTTTTTCATTCAGTAACATACAACTATTCATCCTCTTATTTTTGTTCGATGCCTAACTCAAATGATAATAAGTAAAAGAATCATGGCGATCACCCGGTATCAGTTTGACAAAGTAAAAGTGCCTAAGTAATATCCAACTTTGCTATTCTACTCAGGGACGGATCTATAGCCTCAATTATGGGGCACGTGAACCCATGGTGCCTTCGCCAAACTAGATATTTTATGTGTATATTTTCTATGTATATTTGCACCCATACTCCATAAAGTTTGAATGGTGTACTTGGTTCAATACTTAATTATTTACTCCAAGAAACAAGGATCAATTCTCACTTTACACTTTTTTCTGATCCTTTTTTTCATGGTGCATTCATATTCTACATATCCTACATCCGCCTCTGATTCTACTCCTTCAAAATCCCAACTCAATTGATACATGTGAAAAGAAAATAAAGTAGAAACCAAAGAAGAAAAAGTTGAAACTTCCTAGGAAGAAAAGGTAAGCTAAATCGTTACAAAAGAATATAGAAGACTTTCCGCAATGCAATAAATAGTGTGGCTAGTGCGAAACACAATAAAAAACTACACCTATTTTTTCAATGTGGATAAACAAAATAAAAGATTTTTCTTGGTATTTTGGCTGCTTTATCCATCACTAGAACTCAAGAGGGAGCCTTGGTATAAATTTCAATTACCTGGCAAAAAATTAAGAACCCACTAGAATACTAATCAAAATTAATAACAATAACAGCAAAGCAAAGATATTAATCTAACAGTCAACATAGTGTAAGCAGATGACCATTAAATATTATAAGGCCACCATACCTTTTGATCCTCCTCAACGTCTCAGGCCTAATCTCGGCCTTAGTCCCTGAAGTCATCCTCTGCTTTAAAACCTCATTTCCTCGCTTCAATCGTTCCATTGACACATCTCCGCACCACAAAATCCCCTTGATCAGCTGCCCTGATCCTGCAGCAACTAACTTTGCAGCTGATCCACTGTATTCCTCCACATTGGGCGCCAACGTGGTCCAGTATTGAGTGCAATGTTCTTCCAACACTTCCTTCTTCTTCTCCGACTTCAAGTCAGCTGGAGACAACTCCCTTGCCACTGTTCCTCCAATAGCCAAGGCCGCCTTTTCCTCCACCTTCTGAACAGAAAAGGTGCTGTAACTTTTCAAAATAGCATCCAGCTCTTTTAACAATGCCTCCTGACCCTTGGAAGCAATCGTCAATCCATAATTCAACGATTCATTCACCGTTTCCTTATCTTTCTCTTTCTTACCCTTATCTTTTTCTTTTTTACCCTTTTCTTTCTCATCATCACTGGAATCCGAACCATCCTCTTTCATAGCTTGAAACGAGAAAAAGTAATGCGAATCATCCAATTTTACCGCGGCCAAGTCCTTTGTTAATGGCCATTGGATCTCGTCAGCCACACGAACAAGGATAGCAACAGTATTTTTATCTTGCAGCAGACCAATCAGAGATAAATCTCCTGTGGCTAGCTCAACAGAGTAATGCTTATCGATCAAATGGATGAGGACACCAGGGATAACGAGAAGTGTTTCTTCGAGGGACTCAGGAGGGGCAGATGGAGCAGAAGGAGTAGTTTGATAATCGTCGGGGATGAGTTTTTCGACGAGGTCCTTTTCGTCTATGGTTGGATAAAGATTGGGACGAGAAGAAGTTGATTGGAGATTTGGATCATTATGAATGATCTGTGGATACAATGGGGCTTTCTGTAGATTAGGGTTCTGAGAAGTCATTGAAGAGCTGAGAAAAATATGTTGAGGATGGAGGAAAGAAGAAGAAGAAGGAGAAGATGGATGTTTTGGAGGAATAGCAGGCAAACATGAAGAGACACGTGGCATATTTGTTAACTGCTATAACTGTCGGATTTCCCACGCAAGTCCATTTGGATGTTCTTTTTTTTTCTTTTTCTAATTTCGTTAGAAGCTAAAATTTTAATAAATTATAAATCATATTTTTTTTAGACAAAATATATTTGAAAAATTATTATCAAAAGAAAATTGTTTAAATCCATAATAGTAGCAATATCATATAAAAATGGGACAAAGGGAGTAATGTTTTCTTTTCTTATCCCTCCATTGGCATCCCATCGTCATAGAGTAAATAAAAAAAAAATTCTTATTCAGCAAAAAAATAAAAAAATATTCCTTCTGTTCTTAGCACTCATTTTATGTTTTGGACAAAGAATTGAGTATTTCTTATTGGAAAATAAATCTATAAAGAGTTAATTGACAAAAGAGAACGTTGTAGAATTGATATAGAGGAAATCAAGGTCCAAGGATATGATTCATTTGATAATCTTTATTGGCAGAGTGGTACAATAAGTAGCGGGAGGTGAAAAATATTTTCTTTCTGACTATGCATTTGCTTTGTTTGACAGACATCAAATTTATTATTATGAATAAATTTGACTAAAAAGAACTATTAGTGGCTCCATGGAGCAGTTCTTTTTAACTTGTTGGGTAGAAAATAAGCAAATTTCTATTCAAAATATAACAACAAAAGTCCGTATTTCCATTGGACCAAGCTCGACTGCGAGACTAGACATGCCTACTGGACCCCCTCTAATTGGTGCATATTCACTGCCTGTGTCATGTTCTATATTCCAACTCATCTTCTTCATCTCATTCTTGCCTTGATTCGCCGATAAGCTTGTTTCCTTGATTGCCTTTATCTGAATACCGCGCAAAAGATGTGTCAATCATTTCATACCCTCTAACAAGATGANGACTCACTAGACATTCCAATTCATCTTCTTCATCTCATTCTTGCCTTGATTTGCCGATAAGCTTGTTTCCTTGATATCCTTTATCTGAATACCACCCAAAAGATGTGTCAATCATTTCATACCCTCTAACAAGATGAGCAGACTGTTCAGGTTAATATCTTTTAATATGCATAAGTTAATCAATACACACACAGAGAAGCTCCCAATATCAGTAAGATTTTAAAGTTGTTTTACCGTTTTTCCAGCAAACATATCCTTCAGTTACACTTTGGTTACTGTCGAATAATCAGCGTCTTCACCAGCCTATCCACATCCACAACACATATAAACCAAAAGGGTAAGTAGTGATATCAGTTAGCAAGGGACAAGCATAGAGGTCCAACCTATAATGATGTCATGTGTCACACTCTTAATTTTACATTTTCTGTTTCAGAATTCAAATAAATACAAGCAGTTCATGTTTTTTCAGAAGTAAAGTTGTTGTTTCTTTGTCAAAGTACAACTGAAATAAGGAAATGAGATAAGACTTTCATCAACTTCCGATTCATCCACAATTTTTATGCTCATGTCTATTCAAGAAAAACAACTTAGTTTATTTTTACCTTGTATAGATGAGCCAAACGGAGAAGTACACCTCCATTATCCAACTCCTAGAGAGAAAAAAATATATAAATGACTTCATTAATTCATCGATGGAAAGAAATCACTCTAATCACTGCTAGATCCATTTAACAACCTGGAGAGTAATCAATGCAATATTAGGAGGTAGACTATAATTGGGATTCATGATGGTGGCTTTAGTTAAATGAGAAGCTCTCCATTCTTCCTGATTCTGCAAGATCAAGTCGTACAATTTTCAGACATCAAGCAGTAATGTTGATCATTTAATTTCAAGAAGTCTGCAGTATTTGGTCCTCTTCATAATATGTTGAAATTACCTCATGTCCAAAAGCTAAAACAAGAGGTGAATAAATTTCTTGGCCAGTTGTTCTGCGCCAATGTCACCCATTACCGTTTTTATAAATGCCCAGATAGTAATTCCCTCGAACCTGGCCAGGTGATACGACAAGATAGCAGTTAAAAAGAAGAATTCAAGCCAGAGGTTGCTACATTTTATATTTAAGAAGGACAAATTCCCTAATTAGTTGTTTAGGTGCATCCAAGTCAACCGTGGTTTCCGAGATCATCTGATTTAGAGTTGTTTTGCATATTCAAAAAAATTCACTGAAAAAGCAGAAAAAAATATGGAGGCCTACTACTGCTTTGGAATGCCATAATAAACATACCGTAAGTCCCTCACATGCAGTCCTCACACAGACAGTCTCATCGAGGGCTTCACCCACTCCTCTAGAATCATCGTAGAGCAAGCGCCTTGTTACAAGTAAAAGCTATTAACTTTCTAAGGCCAACAATTATATTAAACAAAATATCTNGCAAAATATCTTTATCACAAATTAGAAGAAAAAACTTCAAATACTATTGAACCTATGCAGTATGAGTTCTATTTCTCCATCATTAATGCTGGCTCCACCTATTGCACGATTCACCTGAAAATTATAATTAAACAACTTCTTAGGATAAAAAAGTGACAAAATGCGAGAATTACAATAGTCCAAAAAATGTGCAACCACAGCTTAAATTACATTATATTATGACCATATATAAACTGCAAGCTATATAGATAACTAAAAGAAGACTATTGTATTGGATTCTGAAGGAAAGTGCAACTGATATGACCATTTCATTCACTTGTGGAAAATTTTTACCGTACGCACTAGCGAATGGCACACACAAATTATAAACAAAACAAACTACATATACTGATTGAGCAAACCAAGGCCTTGTTTTCACAGTAACAGGAATATCTGTTAACTCCAACATTATTTAAGCACATTTTGGTTTTACATTGCAGTTGAAGATGACGCTTATTCAATTTTTCAAACAAAAGAACAAAAGAAGAACATAGAAGCAACAGATGATTTCAAACAGATACTGTGGACTCGAGCACAATGCATCATTTTCAATCTCAACCCAACATTAGTCACAAATTGAGCTGAATTAAGTCCATCGTAATTGATATTCAACAACATTTCATATAAGACTTCACCAAGTTCGATAAAAGAATTGCAATTTCAATTCAAGAAAGTTTGTGTTAGGAAACTAACTGGATAA